GGGTGCAGCCCCTGCCCTTGCCTGCAGCCTTTACAGAGAGCGAGAGCCCAGGCTTGCTGTCCTGGGCCTGCTAGGCAGAGGCTCCCTCCCTGCCAGGGGTCAGCTGACCCCAGGGCCACCCCTCCCCATGTACTCCCCCCACCTCTCTCCGGCTGAGCTTCTTGAACAGGTTGAGTTCATCTTCCACCCGCCTTCTCTGAGTCTTCCAGGAAGGGGGCCAGGTGGGAATGCAGGCTAGACCATCCAAGGCTGCTGTCAGCATTGATTACCTGAGCAAGGTGTGGCCGCATGCCAGCCCCTGGGGCTGCTCTAGCCCCAGGCACTACTAAGTTCTGGGCAGAGAGGCCCAAGAACCATTCAGGCATGGCTGGGCTCCAGCTTGTGGATCCAGGCACCCCAGCTCTCTCCATTGGAGACGGGCATAGCCTGCCCTCAAGTCTGGGCTGTGGGTGCCAAGCTCCAAGATGAACCATTTGGACATGACTGGGGTCAGCTCCCCAGTTCACAGGACTGTGCTTCTAGCCCCGAGAGCTGTGGCCACTGCAGTGGTGGAAAGAGCTTAGGTTCTGGAGCTGGATAAATTTGGGTCCGAGCCTCTGCTTCATCCCTAGCTTTCAACCCTTGGTCCTTGAACCTCTCGGTACCTAGGTTTCCTTTTTAGCAGAATGGGGTACGACCACCTGTCTGACCAGGTAGTGTGAGGATTAAAGGTGCAGAATAGATCCTTAGCCTGGTTGGCTTCCTCCTCTCTCCTTCCTGAGCGCAGCTTCCCTGAGGCTGGACAGAAGGGAGTGGGGACTCAGCTGCAGTGAGCTCTTGCTTTGGCGGTGCACCGTGGCTGACCTGCTGGCCTCTAGGCTTCGGAGGATGTGGTGGTCTGAGCGAGCCAGGGGCATCTTCCTCCACAGCCCTCCTAGGAGCCACTTGGGCCTGGATGTTGCTGAGGCTCTGCCTGTGACAAAGGCCAGAGGGAAGGCACCACGGAGCCTAGGCAGGGCCGGAGGCCTGGCTTCCACCTCTTCCAGCTTCCCTGCGGAAGAAGTCCTAATGTCTGGCTCACCGCCTGGATGCTGCTGTCCACCTCCCATCCCCACTCCTTTGGCTCTGGGGCCCAGAGGAGAAAGAATTTAGACAGGATCTCCACTGATGGCTGAGAACCAAGGATTTTTTCCTGCCTTAATTCCTATAAGACCGGACCTCTTTCCAGGCCTCATTTTCCCCATCAAGATCTGTCCTGTGAGAGGACCAAATGGGGTGAAAACTCTAGGGGCCTGTCGGAGCACCTGGGAGGGAGAAGGTTCCTGGGACACCAGAGCCCTTTCTGGGCTGTTCCCATGAGTCTCCTCTAATGAGCACTAATGAGCCAGAGTTGGATACAAACTCGCTGTCTCCTAGGGGGTGAATTTAGAGTCTCCTTGGGGTCTCTGCATTTGCTGCCTCGTAACGGCCTCAGCTGCCACAAGGAACCTTGCCTGGAGAAGGTGTCCCAGGAGAAGGGCTATTTAGTGGAGTGCTGAAGGATGATGGATTTTTCCAGAGAAAAATTGGCAGGAGCACTCTGGTGGGAGGAAGGACAGGTGTGACAATGCGGAGATGAGGGGACATGGGGGTGGGGGTCAGAGTTGCATGTGGTAAGAATGGTGGTTGGGTGCATGTAAGGATGTTAGGGAAGCTAGGGCACAGAGAGCCTCGTGTGCCAGGCTGAGGAGTTAGGGCTTTTCTGTGTGGGCAGCGTGGTCAGGGGGCATGCAGACCTGGAATTCAAGCCAGCTGCTCCCTCTGGTTTGGAAGCTGGACTGGTGGCCAAGACTAAAGCCTAAAACCTGTTAGCTTTGACGGCATTAGCCCTGTTGAGAGTCACATATAAGCAGAGGGGACAGAGGAGGGTAGATGTGGGACAGATTAGGAGGGTAATGCCATGGCTGATGGGGCAGTGAAGAGGAGAGGTGCCTCCTGCCTTCTGCCACTGCCCAGGGTCGGGAGCCCAGGGGTGCAGTGAGCCCTGCCTCTTGGCATCCCTCTTTCACAAAGGCCAGGGGAGGGGGTATGGCTGGAGCATGACCTGCCCATGGGGATTATGGGCTGTGAATGCCAAGCTCTGAGATGGGACCATCCAGAGGGAATCTGGGGCCAAATACCCAGTGGACATGTTTTAGCTCCAAGAGCTTTGGCAGCTCTGGTGATGGAAAGTGCTGGACAAACGGGTTGGAAGTGGCAGTCTCTTTCAGCCACTTCCATTTTGCTTTCCTGGTCTACCTCCATGGTGACCCAGGTCGGCACTATCTGGACACTTGCAGAGCTGTTTCTGGAGCCAGAAGATCTGGTTTAAGTCCCTACCGTATCCCACCTTGTCAAACCTCACCCACTTCATAGGGCTGAGGGGGCCTCACCTTTTCAGTTCACTGCTTTGTACTCAACTCCCCGTGTGTCCTTTACCCTCAGCTGGGCAAGAAGCTCCCTGAGAGCTGGGCTGAGGCCCTACTCCCCTCTGTGCTGGTGCTTGCTGAGGAAGGAAAGGCAGAAAGGGTGGGTGGATGGATGGGTAGATAGGTGGGTGGATGGATGATGGATGGATGGTTAGGTGGATGGATGGGTGGATGGATGGATGGAAGGAATGGAAGAGAGGGAAGGAGGGAGGAAAGGAAGGAAAAAAGAAGAGAGGAGGGAAGGAAAGAATGGACACATTCATGTTGGATGGGAGAGAGGGGGGAGGGGGAAGGGAGAAAGGAACAAAGGAAGGAAGGAATGGAGGGAGAAGGGGGGGAGGCAGGGAGGGGACAAAAAGGATAAATGGATCTGTGGACCAGAGGGAGGGAGAGAATAGAGGAAGGAAGGATGAATGGATGGAAGGGAGGGAGAAAGGAAAGAAGGAAAGGTGGGGATGGAGAGATGGGTAAAGGAAAGGAGGGGCAGGGGAATGGCAGCAAGGGTGCATGGGGATCACAATGGGTAGTAGTCTCAGATAACATTTTTGAAAACCGCTCCATGCACTAAAGCCAGCAGGACTGCCAGCATCCCATGATGACTGCCTTGGGCAGGTCTCTTCCTGTTTCTGGCCCTCAGGCTTCCCCATGGGTAGCATGTAAGGTCTTGGATCAGATAATCCCTAAAGGCTTCTCTTATGTTGACATTCTGAAATGCTAGCTTTGTCCCTTCGCTTTCCCTCTCCCCTTCCCCCAGCCCAGAATGTAGCTTGGAAGGTCCACATAGTTCTTGGTTTCTAGATCCCTTCCAAGTTGGGTGCCAGGTCCCAGGGCCATGGTCAACCCAGACAGGGCTGTTCTGGGACTTCCAATGCTGCCCCCTCCCCAACCCAACCAGGTGGGGAGGGGTGTCAATGTAAACTAAAGAAATTGCTAGGAGCAGTATGGCTGCCTCCTTCTGAAGGTACAGGGTGAGACTGTGGCACTCCTTGAAGTTATCTGTGAGGGCACCTCTGTAGACCAAAGGTGCCACTTATTCCAGACTGCAACCCAGGGCTGCCTCCAGGAAGATGGCTGTGTTCTGACCATGGTCTGTTTTGGCCAAGCAGAGAAAAGGAGGGTCCAGAGGGAATGGGAGTGGTGGGAACATACAGGCAAGAATGACCAGCTGGGTCCCTGAAGGAGAGCTGCTTGGCCAGGGTTCCATCTGCCCAGGGCCGTGCCTAAGGTGGCCATGGAAGGTTAGTGTTCCGGGCGACCCAACTGGAGGCTGCAAGAAGAGACCTTGCCTGAAATTCAGTCTTGAGCAGGAGGATTTGAAACTTAGACAGCTGCTTGATTATCTTTTCTTGGTTTCCCATGTCTCCTGGGACTTGAGAAGCCCAAGGGGTTATCATATGGGGCCCCCAAACCAAACCAAAGGATCTCCTGAACCTTTCTCCAGGGGGCTCAGGGCCAGAGCGGGTGATTCTGGACAGGCCAGGTTATTCCGGCCATTTCCTTCTCACCGATGGGGTCTGAGAGAAGCAGGTGCTCACATATACTTGGAAAGCGCCAGCACCCCAACAGCTTCTTCCTCCCTCCTACCCACACCCCTACCCAGGGGCTGGCAGGCAACAGCAGGAGAAAAGCAGACCCTGTGGTTTATGGTGCCTTTGAGGATATCTTGTCCAATTCACTGACTGATGCCAGAACCAGCAACACAGTGTCTCTGACATATGACCCTTTAGCCTCTATTTGAATACCCCCAAGGATGGGGAACTCACTTCCAGTTTGGGTATGTGAGTTCCTAGGAGGATAGAGATTGAAAAAAGTCATCTAAGGCCCTGAAGCAGATAAAATCTTTAGATCTAGACTGGATAGAACCTGAAAGAGATTCCGTGAGTGAAGCACAGATTCACAAAAAGGAGAGCGAACGGGCTGCAGCAGGAAGGACAAAAGATGGGAGATGTGGCTGATTCCACCGTAGCTGTCCCTTCTCATTTCTTTGCCAACTTCAGCACCAGCAAGTGAGGTCACTTTTATTAGTCAGGGTGGCTAAATGCTTTAACCAGTGTCCCCCAAACCACAGTGGCTTAACACAATAGGAGTATATTTGCCACCCAAGCAATAGTTCAACGAGAGTATTTATGGTCTTTTTCAGGGACCCAGGCTCCTTTCTCCCGGTGGTCCTGCTGGCGCCTAGGGCTTCAGCATTTGCCTGGCAGTGGGGGGAAGATGGAGTAGGAAGGTTTTATGAGCCAGACTGGCAGTAATGCACACTCCTTTCAAGCAAGGTCCACTGGCCTGAATTCAGTCACATGACCCCACCTAACCCAAGGGAGGCTGGGAAATGTAGTCTAGCTGCGCATCCAAGAGGAATGGAAACATGTTTGTAAAACAAAGCAATCTCTGGCACAACCCTTTAACTCCTGAGTTTCTTTACCCTGTGTCCTGAGGAGGGAGAGGTGGCCTGTTGGCTTGGCCCGTGTTGGAAGGTTCACTGTGCAGGCCTCTTCCCAACACAAAGGCTCCTCCAGTTTCTCTGCTCTGGGTGGGAGGGCCTGCCCTCTGACACTCTGTGTTTCTCCCCCACAGTATGTGGCCTTGGCCTCCCTCTTCTTCATCCTGGTCTCCATCACCACCTTCTGCCTGGAGACCCACGAGCGCTTCAACCCCATTGTGAACAAGACGGAGATCGAGAACGTTCGGAATGGCACGCAAGTGCGCTACTACCGGGAAGCGGAGACGGAGGCCTTCCTCACCTACATCGAGGGTGTCTGTGTGGTCTGGTTCACCTTCGAGTTCCTCATGCGTGTTGTCTTCTGCCCCAACAAGGTGGAGTTCATCAAGAACTCGCTCAACATCATTGACTTTGTGGCCATCCTCCCCTTCTACCTGGAGGTGGGCCTGAGCGGCCTGTCCTCGAAGGCCGCCAAGGATGTCCTGGGCTTCCTGCGCGTCGTCCGCTTCGTGCGGATCCTGCGCATCTTCAAGCTGACCCGGCACTTTGTGGGCCTGCGGGTCCTGGGCCACACGCTCCGCGCCAGCACCAATGAGTTCCTACTGCTGATCATCTTCCTGGCCCTGGGTGTCCTGATCTTCGCCACCATGATCTACTATGCTGAGAGGATAGGGGCACAGCCCAACGACCCCAGTGCCAGTGAGCACACCCACTTTAAGAACATCCCCATTGGCTTCTGGTGGGCCGTGGTCACCATGACAACACTGGGCTACGGAGACATGTACCCGCAGACATGGTCCGGTATGTTGGTGGGAGCACTGTGCGCGCTGGCGGGTGTGCTGACCATCGCCATGCCCGTGCCCGTCATCGTGAACAATTTCGGGATGTATTACTCCTTAGCCATGGCTAAGCAGAAACTACCAAAGAAAAAAAAGAAGCATATTCCGCGGCCACCGCAGCTGGGATCTCCCAATTATTGTAAATCTGTCATAAACTCTCCACACCACAGTACTCAGAGTGACACATGCCCGCTGGCCCAGGAAGAAATTTTAGAAATTAACAGAGCAGGTAGGAAACCTCTTAGAGGCATGTCGATCTGACCTTTCACCTCTGCCCCCGTAGCGATGATTCCAGATTCAGTCAGACTGCTTCCTTAGTTCCGTGGGCGACCCCGGACCCCCGCACTCAATCTCGAAGTGTGGAGCCTGGGGGCCCAGGGAGATGCTGGGCAGCCAAGTTCACAAGGCGAGAGCCAGCTAGAGGAACCTCACTGGTGGCCCTGGGTAAGGAGGTTGACGTGCTGGTCTCATGAGATTCTGAAGAGATGACGTGGCCCTCGAGGTTGCTGAGGACTCTCTTAGGAGCCCGGAGAGCTGCTGCTCGGTGGGCAGGAGTCCAGCGTGAGTCTCTGACTCAGGCCACTGACCTGGTGTCTGGGCAGGGCGGGGGTGGGCGTGATTTGGAAATGGCAGACAGCTTCCGATTCGGTCTTTACACGGCTCCCTTCAGGCTGTGCAGACGGTACAGGTGGTGCATGGGATCTGGCAGGAGGGTCTCTGCAAAGGCAGTAGCAAGGATTCTCACCCCAGCAGAGCCTATCTCCATAGCTGAGTGGGATTCGTGCTCTGATTCCGGCTGCCTAGCGCCAGGTGCGTCCTAGGAGACGCCTCTAGCCCTCCGTAACAAGCTTACTTCCCCCATAGCATGCCGAACCAACTCATCTTCTACCATCACTCTAGAGTTTAGCATTTATCTTTAGAACCTGTTGGAGTGACTCTAGCTTTCACGTTGTCTGTTTGGGTTGATGGTTGAGTGGGAGTTTCCGATGGCCTTCTGATGGAAGCGGCTGGTGAGCAAAGGATTAGAGGGGCCACCACCCCTGGCAGCTTAGATGAAAGCGCTACAGACCAGCAACCACCTCCCACCGATGGTTCTCCCCATGTCCGGCGGTAGAAACTGCAGCAGCAATACATGACACCCCAACCAGTGTACAACCACTTTCCCGTG